GTGGCAAGAAATGTCCCCTTTGATTATCCACCATTTCCTACCAGCTGCAATGTCAGAGTCACTTCTGTCGCTGTGAATTTTCAGGACCGACAAGCTTCCAGGTAGAAAATAAGATTCGGAGCAGCTTGTGACGGCCCATTAACTTACTCAGAGCTTCGGGTGCACACGGCCTGTCTCTCTATGAATCTACCGTAACAAAGACGAAGAAATGAAAGCTTTATTTTTTTTAGGGACGTGTGAAAAGGTGCAGACCAAGTTACTTGTACTGACTGTTGGCCAATCTGAATAAAGGCGTGACGGGGTACTAGTGAACCATCTGTCTGTCTTTGTCCACTTATTTTAAGTGTGTCAGTGAGGAGTCTCTCACAGAACTGCTGTTTCTTTGATTTTGCCCCTTCCTGTTGAATTGTTCTAACTTAATAATTAAAGCAATGTGAGAACACTTGAAGTTGTACATGCACAGCCCCCTTCGAGAAAGGTCTGGCATAATTCACTTAATTTAAAATTCTATTTTTGAGCTTCTTTTTTAAAAAAATTACAGGATCATACTAAGGAAGAGGCACAGTTGTTTTCCCACAGTTATGACAGAGCCCTAGGACAATGGAATATTCACGGTGGGTGTCCGTAACATCTGCAGTATGGGTGGTAAGAAAATTCTTTTACTAGAAATAACCCAGATAGAGGCAGGTCTTTCATAGCTACACAAATAGATTAAGCAATCAATATGTTTTATTTTGAGTTTCAGCTACAGCACAGTTTTCAGAAAAAAATGCAGAAAAGTATTGTAAACACCACCTTGAGACGTGTAACTACACAGAACTAGAAAACCGTTCAGAAATGACCTCAGAGTAAGTGGCATTGCTATCGGCGTAAATGCAGTTTTTCTAGTGAGGCAGCGTGCATCCGGGCTGCTCTACTTCTCGTATCCACTGGGAAGAACTGACTGAGTTTTGAGATTCCTCTTCTATTCATCTGAACATACGGAATAGAATTGTGGTTTCCCTTTGCAGCAGAAGTTAAAAATGACTGATTTCTACTGTAAGCTTTTACATACAGTACTTCTAAACAAAGATATACATAATTAAGTCATCCAAAATGATTTTTCTTTCAGCAGCATTTTGAATTATATCATCACAAAAAGACTCATGATCTCCAAAAATCTATTAATCATGTCATAATTTGATATGTAGCCAAAACTATTCATTTCCCGGAATTTTAAAGGACTAAATTAAAATCAAATTGTAGTGTATGAATCGATTCTAAGAATATACCATAGTTAGGCCCAGTTCCAAGGTGTGTTGTCATTATAATTCACCTGAGAAAGTATAAACCACTTGTTAGTCCTGCACAGAAAAGTTAACCCTAAAAAGCTTCAAAAAAGACTCAATTGTTTGGCAGGTAAACAATAATACTCTTTTATTTGCTCCTCTCCTGGCTTTCGGTAATGAAAACAAGAAGTTGCAGAAGTTCAAGTAAAGTCGGAAAGGCCAAGGTCAAGCAGAAAAGATGGCGTTTCATTAAACATGAGAGACTATGTTATATTTCACAGCCAGTGTCTCATACTCAGGACAGCTTACCTGAGTGACTACAGTTCATGCCAGCAGAGAACATACGAGTTACATTCCTGTCACCCAGGAAAGACCTTAAAGCCACATCTGTATCAGAGACTCAGTCCCCACGGGGCACCCGATGGTGTCCATGGTTAACCCTCGCCAGAGCAAAGCGCAACATCATGTCCTGTCTTTGCCAGCCTTCCAGTCTCGGTGAGATACACATGAGTGTTGAACAAGGGCTGCATCCCATTTACTGAGAGATCAGAGGTCATGATCTCACGACGGGTGATCTTTTCTCTTCGAGTGTGCCTGGGTCTATATGCTTTTCCTCTGAAGCAGAGAGCAGTTATCCCACTGTTTACGCAAAACCACCAAACCATAAATGCTGGAAAGCACACAGGCTCACACTGTGAGGCAAAGGCCGTGTTCTTAGGAAGCCTCTGTGTGTCTGGCATCGCTGTGGCCCAACGGCGGTCAGCGAGGCTTCGACAATGGGGACCCTGGGGGTCTGTCCGTCTCGTAATCAATTCCCTAGCAAAACCCCTGAGGGAGGAGGAGGTTCTTAGAGCTGGACCTTATGGATAGTGCATCAAACATTCCAAATTAAAGAATGCAGGGCTTAGCCCTGGCTGGTGTAGCTCAGTGGATTGAGTGCGGGCCTGCGAACCAAAGGACCGCAGTTTGATTCCCAGTCAGGGCACATGCCTGGGTTGCAGGCCAGTTCCCAGCAGGGGACACACCAGAGGCAACCATACATTGATATTTCTCTGCCTCTCTCCTTCCCTTCCCCTCTAAAGATAAATAAATAAAATCTAAAAAAAAAAAAAAAAAAAGAATGCAGGGCTCAATTTTAAGTGCACTTAGGTTTTTCAGCAGTTTAAACATGTCAGAATTCAAGTGAAACTAGCAGATTAATCGGCCTTGGAGCAGCCCAGGAATCCACCACAACTGGGCACACGTTGGCGCTGGTTTTGGTCCCAGGGTCCCAGCTGGTGAGAAGAGAGATCGATGCCACCTCTGTCTGTTAGTATTTCAGTCACTGCAGTGGAAGTATCACGGCGTTATTCTCGTTCTCTGTAATTATCTGGGGACGTGAAAGTGACATCCTGGGAGTAAAAGCAGGAGGAATGAAGTAGGTAAAGCCCAGTGAGGGCCACTGGCTCTCGCCACGGCTGGCATCTGTCCTGCCGAGGCCGCCGTCATGAAGGAAGGAGGGCACAGCGTTGAAGAAAAAGCAGACTTAGATTCATAGACAGTGAAAATATGCAACATTCCGGATCTTCTAAAAAAAGCCAGTGAAGAAACTGACAGCCCAACAAACCAAGACGGAAGGTCACGGAAGGATGAGGGACTCTGACCGTGCTGGTCCATCGCTCTCCCTACAACCCACGCTCTGCATGGGCAGCAAGGGAAGAACGCAAGGAAATCAGCACACAGTGATTCCGCCCAGGCATGTTTAAAAATCAGGTGCGTGGAACTGCGGTGCAATTTAAAAGGCATTTTTTCACGCATAGCCTGAAACACCAAAATGAATGTTTTCTATGACCTCCCCAGTTCATTTCCATTTTGCATAAGAGGCACATGAGAAGCACATATCAATCCTCGGCCTCTGTCATGAAAACAGGATTTGCCCTATTTCCGTTCGCTGCCATGGAGGAGCTTCCGGTTAGTTCTGTGTCATCAATTACAGTAACACGTGGATCTCCTGTTTTTTTGCAGTTACACACTTGGTTTTTTGTAGTTAACAGGGTTAACAACATTTATCACTCAGAATAGTCTAATAAAATTGGAAAAGTGTAGCTCACATAGTCTAGTGGTTTTTAAACTTTTCCTTAGTGCCGAATCACTAAGGAAAATGTCCGGTATCCCACCGGCCAAAACAAACCAACGCAGCGTCCTCACAGCTGAAAGTGAGCAGTGGCTGACGCCCCCACACCTCTCCAACCAGCGCTTCGCTTTCTCATCCTGCTTTGTGCCTTCAATGCTGAATGAAGCGTTCATACATACACGCAGCGTGAAAGCCACACTGATGACGTCTGTTTTCCTCATTTCACTCACATGGAAACAGAGACACAAAGCGGTTCAGTGGCCGAACCAATTTGTTCCTCTCCACAATGGAGGTCTCCTGACTTCCAAACCACTGTCTTTCTGTATCATCCTATTGTATCTCTCTCTCTCTCTTAGAACTGAGGAAACATAAGCCTTGGACATAAAAAAAAAAAAAAAGAAAAATCTGTGGTTCATTTGGAGTTTTCTTCCACTTAGAAGTTGTTTACTCTGAAGTCTGACATTTCCTTACATGGTTCATCGATTACAAGCTGCGTGGACTGGGCTGAATATTCCCCAATTCTGGAGCCAGGGATCGATTCGCATGGTTTACAAATGCCTCCTTGGAGAGTCCCAACGTGAACGTGAACCTGAATGTTCTGAGTGGAGGGAAGAGAGCACAGTTTGCCCAGCACTCAGAGGCCCCGTTGATAAACAGATTCCGGTAGGGAAGAGATGTGTGGCTAATCACGGGGAAGTAGATCTTAGATGCCACGGACTGGGGGGCGGGTGGGCAACACCGGGCAAGCTGGCGGAGCACAGCGTACAATTCAGTGAAGACATTTCTTTCAGAACGGCCCTCGGCGCTATTCAGGAACCGCTCTATTTTTACTTCTACAGTAGGTAAAAGTTTGATCCAAGGACAGTAAGTATATTATGTTACAGCTAAATGTGGCCGGGCATGGGGGTCATTTGATTACTATTTACATTTTTTGAAAACTGGTAGTTGAGAGCTATTTTCACCTAGGTAGGATCAGAACTTCATCTTAAGCTGTGCGTATTTGCTAATACATTGCAGAGTGAACACAGTTCATTTATACATGAGACTCTCTACTTCATTCATTGGTATTAAACTGTTCAACCACCGAATGGATCCACTCGATTTGACTGCGAGGTTTCAAGAACCCCATTGCTTCCCCTTCTTCTTCACACCCCCCCAAATACTGGTGGGAAGAAGAATGTCTTTTACCTATTGTGACGGGAATTCCTTTGACTGTTTCTGCCAATTCCTTCCTAAATTATATATTTTTTCTTTTTGTTAACTTTTTTTATTGTTCAAGTACAGTCAACTTACCTGATAGTGTTTGATAAGTTTTATGCAGAAATTCCTTACAAAGAACTATATAAAAATAAACTAGTAACAAAACAACAATAAAAGTGTTTTTCAGAGGTTTCTTTGTGACAAAAGGGTGTTAATTGCTTTATACATTTTATCTTAGTCTTTAAAACAGTTTTCTAGGGTTCATAATGATGGATAGGCAGGCAGGATTTGAACCCAGGGACATAATACTCCACCAGCCACGATCTTTACCTCCACTTTCCATCCCCCCTAAACGCCTGCCGGTGTGGGTGCAGCCACTCCCAAAACCTGATATCGAGAGGGAACAGAATGATGCTCACCTTAGACCAGTCGCCCATCCGCCACACGTAGCATTTCGAGTAATCCTCACAGTCCTCCGCCTCCCTGGGTCTGGTGGAGAGCACGCACTTCTTTCTGGGGTTGGTGCACCTCACGGTCCGGTGACGGACACCTTTGCCGCACTTGACCGAGCACTGGAAGACAACACCAGACGGCGGGGGAAAGTCGGCGATTAGGAGACATGGGCAAATGATGAAATTATGCAAAGCCTTGGTTCTACTCGTCTCTGATAAGCCTGGGACCCACAGAAAGGCCAGGCAGGAGCATAAGGAACCAGAACAGGCTGCGCTCTCGTCAGAGCCTGGGTGCAGCTCAGCGCACAGCGCCGGGGGTGAGAGGGTTTCCGGAACGCAGGACGACGATGATCACGGGGAGGAATATAACGCGGGGGTCACTGGCGAAAGGCAAACAGTGTGCAACGGTCAAAATGCGAATACTGCGTTTGACCGACCTCACATTTTTACACAGACTCATGCAAGAAAATTCATTCTTTTATTTTGCTAAGACTTACTCTGTTTTAGCCTTAAGACATGCTGTGAAAAACAAGAATTTCCTACAGATTGTCATTTCTTACAAACCGTTCCTGCGGCTCAGAGGGTTTGTAAGAAATAGCCAAAATAAAGAATATCTTTACATAATTATATGTTTCTAGAAATCATCATTCTGAACAGTTGCATGGATTGAAATATAATTTGGTTCACAGACAGTTTCATTCGCATGACAAATGACTGGTGCTTGGTTGACATTGGTGACACTGGTGATGACAGGAAACACACATATACTCCGAAGACATTTCCGGTGCAACCTGCCCCTCTCTTACAGGTAGGGTTTCTATTGTGGAATATGTACAAAGCTTCCCAGGTTTACAAAGGTGTGTGCCACTGACCTTCTGGACACAGGGACCAAAATGGCATGGGAGGGACCACAGGGGTGTGGAGCAGAATGAGAGGTATGGCAGGCATGAAGATCCAACTTATATTTGTGCCTCAAAAAGGTCTGGAGAGAGAGGTGCGGGTGGATGCTGGTGCCGACACAGTATAGGAATAACCACGTGGCTTCCGACACTTGTGTTCCTGAAAACTTGAGTGTAGAACTAGTGATATTCCCAACACACTAAATTTTGCACAAGTAAGTAGTTATCTCCTCATTTATGGGTTGTGTCTGAATATGGTGCTCTTCAAAGTAGATGTGTACATGTGATTTGGTGTACTAATATTTATATTTTTATTCTTTGCAGTTGAGATTAACCCTGATCCATACAATCAATTTTTAAGTGAACTCAAAATAAGAGCAATGCTTTTTGATTGGTATATTGCATTGAGACATGGCATTTTTTTGCAGCTGGTGCCAAAAATCCATACAGGAGAATATTTCTGACTATTTACTCCTGACGAGCTTGCAGAACATTACGGTTAGGCAGGAGATATTTCCGTTTCTGATATTTCTGTGAATCTTCTCTGCAGACTGAATTTGGTCCACTTTGATGTGAAATCGGATATTGCACAGGAAGAAGAACCCGTTAAACAGCCAGGGATGGCTCGGGAAACACAACAGAAAGTCACACTGCGGGGGGACTCTCGGGGGACTGGGCTTGCCAAACAATAGTCACACACGTTATTATCTGAGTTACTTTATCCTCGTTTCCAAACACTGGTTACTAACTGCAACCCAGCACTTTCTGTTTGGCATGTTCGTATCCTATCTAACGTTCTGGAATTAAGCACATGGGCGATTTTGCTCGGGGTATGTGTGTGCATTTGCCTTTGTGCACTGGTGTGAGCATGTAAATGTGTGTGTGCCCGTGTGCACACTCCCACACACTCACCTAATGTGCTTCAGAGCAGCCAGGAAATATGAGGACTGGTATTTATTATTATGTAATAACATGCACCATGATAACAGAAAATAAAGCAGCCATTAGGCATGGAACACACCCACACGCTACACGCTACAAGGTAGCAGGTAAGTGGGGCACAGGGTTCAAACCCCAGCTTTCCCACTTGGGTAGGACTTGAGTGAACTGATGCCTTTGAGCTACATCATATGAGGACAAAACGGAATTTCTTGCATTGGTGATTAAATGTAAACAATATACTAAACATGAACTAAGAACACAATCCTGGATCACAAAATGATTGTTAAATGTTAATTCCTTTCTTCTACTTTCCCTTTTAAATGCTCAGGGTTATATAATGAGTCAAATGTACATTTTCATATGTGCCTACTTAACAGTACACTTATGGCCCATAAATGGAAAAGCAGGATTCTAAAATGTATGTAAAACATGCTCCCGATCATGTTACAGTATTTATGGAATAAAGAGTAAATATAGCTTTGTTTTTTTCCTATTTTTTTGAAATTACTTATAATGAGTGTACTTTTTTACTGTCAGAAAAATCAACATTGAAAAACATCAAGTGTACAGAGATTCCAATTGTGATGCAACATGACCTTGAAGAAGCCAAGGGTCAGGAAAGAGGAAGGGGGGGCGTGTGCGCACCTCAGACCAAACGCCTGCCTCCCACACGGTCATGCAGTCCTGGCCCTCGCAGCGCTGCGCCGCCGCGGGCTTGGGCCCGGCGCAGTCCCTCTCCCGGGCCCTGGTCAGCGTCCCGTTGCTCAGTTGTTGGGTACACGCCACTTGTCTGCTCTGCACCCCTTTTCCGCAGGTCCGCGAACACGGGGTCCACTCTGTCATCATCCATCTAAGAGCAAAGTGAGAGTCATGGGAATGAATGAGAAGAGCGTTACCATCTCTAATGAACCGGGGTCTCCCCTAACGACTCTGAATCTAAACAGCTCTCCAAATTTCTTTCAGGAAGGAACCAAGGCCTACACCAGAAAAGCGATTGATTCATGAAACCTGGGATTTGCCCCATTCCTGTCCATAAAACCCCCTCCGCACTCCCCATTATCAGGACGCCCTTCTGGGGGTCTGAGCTCCTCACTAAACCATCTGCACAGCTGTGTTCAGGCACAGAGCAGGGCCGGCAGATGCCAGGGCCGCCTCCCTGGTTCCCTACTCACTGTGCACGGCCATACAACGGTGCTTAACGGCTGCCCAGGTTCCACATTCCCATCTGTGAAGGCGGTCACTGGGCCGCCATACAGCAGCCACTCAGGATGCAGCACGTTCCACTGCCGTGCACTCATAAACGACTTGTACTCACTCCTCCATCTCAGCAGCCTCACTGCCCACTTGGTTAGAGAACCCACCGCACGCTCAGCCTGCCACCCAAACACTTTCTGTCTCCACCTGGGGGCATCTGTTTCTGGAACATCCATTGTTTATAGCTCCTTGACTGCCGGCCCCAAGACCCTGCCTCCTACAAGGGCTTCCCCCATCCAACCCACAGGGGCTGTGTCCCCTTGAGCCTCTGCCCCCTGGCTTGTGGCACTCACATGATGCTTACAAGTTATTCTCTGGGGGAGCGCAGGGGCTCAAAGGCTACCTACAGAATGGGACCTCCTTTTGCTGATAAGCAAGTCATCTCTCCACGGGGCCTTGCTCTTTTTGGCCCCCATGGTGCCTTTTGCACAACAGCTTTGCATCAAACACATCTTGAAATGGAATTTGTGTATCCCCCCGTTTCATAGAAACGGCCTCGACTTCCCAACTTAAGCCCATATGTTCTTAACGATGAGGCAGAGATGCTGCGTCCTCTCACAGCCTAGTGCCCTCATCTGCACAATGTTTCCAGTCTAAGTGATGCTTTGCTTCCGTTTCTGAAAACAAAACAAACCAACCCAACCCGCGGTAACATCTGGGCCCGGTATCAGCTCTAGCGAGGTTCTTGTCTGCTGTCCCGTTAACAGTGATGCAGGCCTACCATTTTGCTGTGGAGGCTTCTAGATTTTTCCTAAAGGAAGCATCAATTATCCAGTTCCATTGGTTCCTGCCTCATCTCTCTGTCCAAGGACACCCGGTCCACAAGCACAGCAGTCAAACTCCTCCTTTGTCCCCTTTTCTCCCCTACTATGGAATCCAAGACACTTGAAAAAAGAGGTGTTTTCAGCTTCATGGAGTCTCATTTTTTTGAACGAAACTCATTTTAGGGATCCTTAGTACAATGTAAAAAGTTGCTTTCCTGCTCCGTGAAAATGCTCAGGAAGAGAGGGCATAATATGTATTGTACGGAGAGAAAACATCTTGTTTTAGAATCCATCTAATTTGGAATTATCCCACTTCCTCATCTTTAAGATTCTTTCTTACAAAGCTATTCACTAGGACACCAATATATTTTATATTTGGCACATAGGGTTCCACCAGACCATTTGGTGAGCCCATCAATAAATGTGAGTGGCAATCAGAATGTTTCTTACTAGGGCGGGGCAGCCGAAGAGGCAAGAGAAATAAAGGTGGTGCGATGCTGGGGAGCCCTGGAACGCTTTCCTGTGAGGACCCCTAGAGTTGGTTACTCGGGTCCATTCTCCTCACTGGTTTGGCTAACCTCGCCGACATCGCTTCTTGGTGGGGCAGATCACACGGCCTTCATTCCCAAGACTGGAAAAACACTGCTTCCGACAGAGAGACTGCCAGTCTCTAGCTGCAAAAATCCCTGACCCAGAAACAGACTCTTAAAACTGTTCACTTTACTCAGTCATTATTGGGTCATTTCCCCCCAAGATGGCCACGGTCAGTGAGTGAACCACCAGTGATGTGCGTCGTGCCCTCTGGTCCTTCACTGACCGAGTTAGAAAGTGATAAGTACACTCCTGTCCCCCGAGCAGCTTGTTCAAGGTTCCTGAGAGCAGAAAAAGCCAGGGCGCCTTCATCCATACAGGAGCGTTACTTGTATATCAAACAAATGGTGTTTTGAAATATATTAATAAATTACTTACTGCAAGATAAATAGCATTTTTAAAATGGTATTTTTAAAATAGCGCTTAAATAGAAATGCTATATCTACTGAAAAGAAATAAAGAGAAAGACAATTCTTAGGAATGATAACAGCAAGAAAGGACCCAGGTCGTTTAACTGAGAGGACGAAGGCCCAGCACTTCGCTTGGGCATCTGCCCAGCACCGAACGCCAATGACCCAGAGAGGACTGTGGGTAACACGTCTGCGGCCGCACCGCCCTGGTTGCACCCAATCTGGTCCCATGTCGGAAGGTAAGCAGCGCCGGCCTCGCACATTCTCTGACCTTCCACTCTTTTGTCCTGTCCCCTAGAGACATATTTTCTCCCAGAGGAGGCGTGGTGTCATCAGAGGATGACTGCGAGGGAAGGGGAAGGCTGCCAGTGAGCGTCTGACCCCTTAAACACACGGCATCTACAGCGAAGCCGGCCTGGGGGCTTCAGCTCTGGGGTGAGTGCGGGGAGGAAGGAGTCTCATCAACGTGGCACGAGCCGGGTCTGCAGGGCGTAATAACTGAGTTTTGCGATGGGCAGAGACGGAGGGAACTCAGGGAGCAGGGCTGCCTCAGAAAGGGGTACGACAGGGTGGGGCGAAGGAAGCGGGAACTGTGCACCAGCCCTCAGGACACTGATTCCCAAAGGGATCACTGAAGGTAGAAGCCTGAACAGAGTCCCCAGGCTGCTCTGCCCTCCACCCTTACCCGGTACACACTTCCTCACCGTGGTGGAGGGCCATGAAGATCATATTTGTGACGAATCCCTACAAAGCTGCAAATTCTTTGTCCATCCATGTTGTAGGATGTGTAAGTTCACGACTCCACTGCAGAAATTACAGCGAGAGAGACCAATTCTCTGTTCGATTCCCTAAAAACTCACAGCCACACGCTAACTCACTGAGCCTCAACAGTTCTCTCAGTGTCAGGACAGAATAAAAGTCCCTGTCTTCACATTCTAGAGGAATCGGTGTGGCCTCACACTCTTTTTGTCAGTGTGTCCCTAAAAGTTTTGGGGACTTTGGACACTGGGGTTTAGTCCCACTCAGGCCCCACGTGGCTTTATATGACAGTGCGTGGACTTTCCAGAGACCACGCCCAGCAGCCTGGCTGCTGCCTGCTCCCCGGTTCCGCTAAGCAGAACCGCCTCTCACTCATCTCCGCCACTTACTAAGGCATCGCTTCTCTCTACACCTCTTCCCTCTGCTCGTGAGTTCCTTGCCTGCTTTCTTGCCTATTGCTCCTTGGGGAAGTCACCAGGGACCGAAGCCACCAACGATCCAGTGACCAAGACCCAGGATGGGAATCTGGTGACCAGAGTCGGCTGGTGGCCTGGGGAACTCTGGGGGAGGACGTGAGGGTCCAGCTGGGGACCAGTGCCATGACTGAGCAGGGGACTGGGTCCTGGCCAGCCCGCTTTGGTTTCCATCACCCCAGGCAGGTTCTCACACACCAGTACGAGGAATTCCAGAACGAGCAGCTGCAATCAGCCGATAGCCAGATGTTTGAGGAGGTGGCCAATCGCTGACCCAATAACTGCAATGACTTTTCCTCGCCTCAGTGAGCGGTTGTTTTCACACTGCAGGGAGCTCAGTTAAGGTCAAGGTAAACCCTACCCTTGAGGCTCTGGTGCACATACCATTAAGTGGCTGCCTTTCACAGACCTTGCTTACTGGAAACCACATATTTTGGGGCGGATCACCTGCACTGCTTTCAGGACTATGTGATCCCGGTCACATTCTCTGTTTTGAAGACCAGCAGTTTAACGGGCACACAGGGCCCAAGCGGGTGGTGGACCTGGTTACCTGGTTTGGCACGGCTGCTCGTTGCACTTGCGAATCTGTGGCTCCGGCTTTGTTAAGTGTCTGCACTTCTTGTTGTCCACAATGCTGATATTTTTGTTCATGATTTTTGTGCAAGACACTGTTGTCTTCCTTTCTCCTGAAAAGAGCAAATAAACAGATAAGGAAATGTTAGTATAGACCTTTATCCGAATGCATCTGGGAGGTGTTCATCACAGGCTTGTAATTTTCAGAGATATTTTAAACAACTTTTAGGTTAGATCAGTGAAGATGAGATTATTTACATAACAAAATGCATCTCTAGGCTTAAGGAAGATGAATGGTAATTTTTCTGTGTTAGATATTAAATGGCAAGTTTTATAGCATGAAGGGATTGTGGTGCCGTACATCGAGAAGGTATTTATTAAAGATGTGTAATGGGTGTGCCATCGTTAGCCCTGAGTGGTGGACAGATGTACTTGTGCAACACCCATATGCCTTTATGAAAGCATGGAAACACGCATGTAAGTATGTATTTACCCTTTTCGCGTATTGCACCTCATCGGTGCTCTGCGCTAGGCTATGGAAAGCAAGCTTACTTAGAGTGTGGCTCAGACCTTTATTCTGATTGCCTCTGATAAAGACCCCAAGAACTCTGGACAACCTCACTCCCTAGTGACTGTCATGCTCTCTAAGAATGGCCATGGGGCCCTTGCCTGCCGTTGTTCTCCAGACTTCAGAAAACTGGCTTTTCTGTTCTCTGGTGTGGGGAAGCCAGCAGTAGAAGGAAAAGCCGTGGTTGGTGCGCTGCCTCTGCTGGAAGCTCGCCTTCTGGACGACGCCTTCCCTTCACCTTATTTCCAAATAGCCCACCAAAGATGTGCTCATTCTGTTTCTCTACAAAAGTCTAAGTATCTATGTAGGAGTTAGTAATCTCACTTATTCTTGACATTATAAAATAATCAGATTACCCAACAATTTTAAAGCCAGATGGATCATGGAGGATTAAGAAAAAAAAATCACGAGTCTCCTGAGTCACTCTTCAAAGGCCCAATAGTTAGGGTCTTGTGACAGCCTCGCATGAATAACTAGGGGCCCGGAGTGTTCGCGCTGGTCGTGCTGAACAGGACAGCCTGGGCTGGCGGCGGACCGGCCACTGTGTCGTTCAGTCAACAGGGAGGGAGGGCGGGCGTCAGGGAAGGGGACAAAGGGAGTGGAGAGAGGGAGAGATTTTAATGCTTTTTGAGTATCTTTTACTTGGACATTTCAAATGGGGGATGGGAAGAGATAACAGAGCGGCCAAGTACAAGGCCAAAGCAGCAGAGTAGGTTCCGGATCTTCCCCCGATTTCCCTCTCGACAACACTGAGCACAGCCCCGTGACAGTCTGAGTACGAAATCATGATCACACCTGCCCGTACACACACACGGGTTAGCTAACAGCGTGTCCGTGGTGAGTGCGCACCACAGAACCGAAACCAGTTACGTCTTCAGTTCACCTTCTGGCGTCGGCAGCACATTAGACTTAATCACACACGTGGTCAACACCAACCAGCTGCACACCATCTTCGAATACACTGCTACAGAAGCGAAAACGACTTATCATGCCCATTTATTTGCCCCAGAGAAAACTGGCCCCACAGGGTAGGAGTTCTCTAAATGTAAGAACCTGGGAGCCATTTCTGGTCAAGTCCCCCCAAACCCCCGACGCTCCGGTGCTCCTCTACGGCCCGATGCACACATCACATGGCTGTCCTGCCAACTTTGTCGGGCGCTGACCTAGAGAAGCATTATTTCTACATTACAATGATGCCAACCTAAAAGCAGGATTAAAAATCTTATATTTATGAGCCATTCATGTTAGTTTTCAAGTCTAATTTAAAGCCTTCGTAGTCCTAAGACGCTCCTTTGCAGAATAGACGTCACTGCCTAAACCCATTTGAATAATGGCTTCCTGCCAATGACTGCATAAAAAGATAGCCAACCCCCATCATCCAGAAAGCTGTTGCTGAACATACCTGTACTCACAGAATAAATAACTCAGAGCTGATTATTCTGCATTTTCTTCCTTTCCTCAGAAAATATTGTCTCTAACCTTAATTACGCTAGCCCAGAGCTAACATACTGAGCCAGTGGAAAAAATTTTTCAGGCATCAGTGCGGGTCTATCGTAAGGGATAAAGCTATCAGCAACCTTTCAGGGAGCGCCTCAGTGGGGCTCAAAGAAAGCTTGGAAGCGTGTGAGTATGAATTGGGACACTTCCACAATGTAGCAAGGAAGCTCCCAGCACGCGTTTTTTGGCAGATAGGAGAACCTTAGTTCTAATTTTTAAAAAATTTTATTGAACAAAAACAATAGAATCGGGAAAAAAAATGCATTGCTGAGCCACAGACACTCCATGCCTACGAAAATACAACTAAGATCATAAAGCCATATGGAAATGTTATTGTTTGATTTTTTTTCTTTTATATATTTTTCTGTCCCAGCCAACACAGGAAATTTCCATTCTAGCATTTAATAGCAGTATTTATAACGCGTCCAGCCTGCGGAAGGAACCCAGGGACGCACAGAAAGCGAAGTAACTGGCCTTCTGCCTGAACCGTGCGTGGCTGCTGGTTGTGGACAGTGTGTTGCTCGCCCCACGGCGAGTCCCCCACCTCCGGGTCATTTCCGTTAAGCCAGTGTTGGGGAAATCGGTTTCGATGGTTTGAACACAGTTGCGAATAAAATAAAATTAGCATTCTGCATTTGTCTCATTACCAAGTTTGGGCAAAATCAGAACACGTCAGGTAATTTTTATGTAGCCATCTTAGTTTTCCGAGGCCATGTGACAAAGACGGGACAGATCCTACCCTGTGTCCCTTCCTGCCCGGGCTCAGAGGTGAGCTGGTTCTTTTTCCTGTGCTCTGGGCTTAACTTCGGAAATGGGTGTTTTTCACGAAACTATATTCTCCCCAGGTGCACCATCTTTCTAGAACTTGCATCATAAACACAAAACCATGTCCTCAGGCGTGAGCTTGTGATGAGTTCGATGCTCATCATGGAAGCTCCCTACATGGTGCTGGAAAAGGCAAAAGGGCCCACGGACGTGGACAACAGTGTGGTGATTGCTGGGGGGAGGGCGACGTAAGGGACGAAGGGGTAATGGAAAAACACAGTGAAGATTAAATAAATAATAAAATAAAATTGTGGAACTCTATAAGACAGAGGCTCTACATACATGTATATATATTCATTTGGCCTCCTAAAATTGTTTTCCTTTTTTTTAGATTTTATTTATTTATTTTTAGAGAGAAGGGAAAGGAGGAAGACAGAGAGAAAGAGAAACATCCGTGTGTGGTTGCCTCTCATGTGGCCCCCACTGGGGACCTGGCCTGCAACCCAGGCATGTGCCCTGACTGGGCATCGAACTGGCAACCCTTCGGTTTGCAGCCCACGCTGAATCCACTGAGCTACACCAGCCAGGGCCTAAATCTCTTTTAAATTTTTATGCACTTATTTCTTTCTGAACTAACAACAGGCAGCAAGTGAACCAGAAGTAAGCACACTTTGATGAGGACAAAGCCCTTTTCTCTGCACATGTCCTAGGGATACATCAACTGCTGGTTGCTTCCTAAGCATACATTTTAAAGTTGAATGACTGCCAAAATCACATCATGTCATTTACTTCTCAGCCTATTTTTTTTTTTTACATTTCTATAACATATTTTTTTCTCAGGGTTTGGGCTTAACAGTAAAATGAATATTTTGTTTTTTTAATGAAAAAGCTTTTATTTTGTAGAGTGTACCACACCCACTATATACTCCAAACTGATTTTGTCATTTCCACGCACAAATGTTTAAACGTGATCTCATCACCTTCAAGTTCACGTAACCTGAGTGCTCGCATGGCACCGAAGGACCTTCACGAGCTTGCTTCTTTCGACTTAGCTGTCGAATCATTTCTCCTAGCTTGAGGCTCCTATTTTGCATCCTAGTGAGAAATATTCTCACCCAATCCCAGTGCCTTTGCCCCTGTGCGTATTCCTGGGAGGCTTTCTGTACCTCCGCCCCCTACTCTGTGTGGAGACTGGGCTTTTATCTGACCCCTGCTACGTGGGCAGTGAATCCTGGGAAGGCAGAAGGCATTCATCTGTGGGCCACTCGGCAACAGCAAGTGCGCTGTCTGCATTGGAAAAGGCACCGGTGAGGGATGCATAAGCTTACAGCTCAAGCCCAAAGTGCTTTCTGTACAAAGAGATTCATCCTAAACTGGTGAAAATCATCTGCAAATGAAATGACAAATTACGGGGAACAGTTATCGATACCAAATCCAGTTAAAGGGTCATCGTTTAGGTATTAAAATTCAAGTTTATAAAGAGTTTATGTTAACATAACAATGGTCCTACTAATTTAAGTGAAGAAAGTAGGACACAAAATTGTATTGATTTTATTGAAATAAAATAATGCCAAGAGAAAACATATTCTGGTGTCTTTTTTTTTTTTTTTTTTTGGCTAAAAACATTTATTTTGGGACATGCACAGTGCCTCTAAAACAGAAAAACAAAGTGAACCCTTGAAAACATACAGGCATCTGTATTTCGAGATGCTTCCTGAACTTGGATCCAAAGCTTGAATGCCTCCTTGGAATCTGGCCGGGGACCGGGAAAGCTGCCTCTAAGATATCATAGCACAGGGTTATCACAGCACGTCAAGTCGTAAGCTGGTAGGACTTGGGCCGAAGTGAAGAATGTGGAATATTGACTTATGTTTTTCCCCTTTAAATTGTATCTATTTAGATTTCCTAAAAGCCTGTTCAACTCTTCATTTATTTTCAAAAGAGGTTATTGAACATTGGGGTTCTCCTTACAGGTTTTAGTTCATTAATTTATCCACTGGATCACGAAACACCCTGGCCTGGTCCATACAGTTACTGTGCGCAGCGTGTGAGTGCAGACTCCACACCCGGCGCTCGGGTATCAGGGAGCGACACACCTCGAGTGCCTTGGGGGGTCCAGATCATTTAAACAGGTCTTCCACTTCAGGGAGAACTTTATCCGTGACCCACACCTCTGCGGTGCCAAAACACATTTAAAACATTCCTTCCAAGATTTTAAAGATATTTTGGAACACTAAAGCATACTAAACTTTTATTTCACAAGTACATTTTTAGCTGTTTGAA